GTATTGGCAAATACCACTCGATGAAAAATCACGAGAAATCACGGCATTTAGCACGCCTCTAGGCCACTTTGAGTTTCTACGAATGCCATTTGGTCTCAGAAATGCCCCACTAACATTTCAAAGAATGATCAACACCCTGTTTGCCGGACTAATTGGTAACACAGTCTGCGCTTATTTGGATGATCTAATAGTAGTCAGTAAGGACGTCGATTCCCATCTGATAAAACTGCGTGAAGTTTTGGCCAAACTTTCCACAGCAGGACTCAAAATAAAACTCTCTAAGTGCGAGTTTTTAAAATCCAGAATCCATTTCCTTGGTCATGTAGTCGACGGTGAGGGCATACACACAGTTAATGATAAAGTCAAAGCTGTATCTCAGTTCCCGCGTCCTACCTCAAATGATCATGTGCGTAGCTTTCTCGGATTATCTGGTTATTATCGTGCCTTTATCAAGGACTATGCAACATTAGCATCGCCCCTAACGAGGTTGCTCAAAAAAGATGCAGTGTTCATATGGGATGCTGAACACGAGGAAAGTTTTACGGCATTGAAGACGGCGCTAACCAATGCCCCGGTTCTAGCATTCCCAGACTACACTCAACCTTTCACTCTCTGTACTGACGCATCCGGAATTGGAGTCGGAGCAGTGCTCATGCAAGAGGACACGCGTGGGAAGTTTAGAGTGATAGCATTTGCAAGTCGCAAACTAATCGATGCTGAAACACGTTATTCGGTGACGCATTTAGAAACGTTAGCCGTTGTGTGGGCACTTAAGAAGTTCAAAGACATTATCTTTGGCTACAAGATAACTGTTTTACTGATCATGCGGCAGTCACCGAACTGTTCCATGGCAGAAACTTATCAGGCAGATTAGCACGCTGGTATCTGACAATTCAAGAGTTTGACCCCGAATTTAGGTATTTACCTGGGAGGGCGAATGTTGTCGCCGACGCTCTGTCAAGAAATATAGCACCAGTTATGCCTGTATCAACATTCACTCTTTCGCAGCTGGAAGATGAGCAACGACGCGACCCATATTGGTCAGCTGTTATTTTTGCTCTCGAATCGGGCGAGGATGTTAAACTCCCCAAGTTATTTCTTCCCTTAAGTCAGTTTGAATTACGACATAACATACTCCATAGGACGAGAAAATCTCCTGAGGGTAATGTGTCTCAAATAGTCGTACCTGACACGTTGCGCAAAGCAGTAATGACATTGTTCCACGATGTCCCACAAGCAGGTCACCAAGGTCGTGATAAATGCCTAGCGGATTTACGAAAGAAGTATTTCTGGAACACGATGAAGAAAGACATAGAATTACACATAGCTAATTGTTTGGCATGTGCTCAACATAAAGGATCAACAGGATCACCTGCCCCGATTCTACAATATCCTACACCAGACCGTCCGTTTGACACAGTCGCTGTTGACTTGTTACAACTCCCAATGAGTCATCAGGGATCAGGATACGTCTTAGTGTGTGTGGATCATTTTTCCAGGTTCGTGGTCTTGGTCCCACTAAAAAGCAAAACGGCCGAAGCAGTAGCCTATGCATTAGTGATGAATCTCATATGTCCATATACTACGCCTAAAGTTCTACTCTCTGACAATGGAACAGAGTTCAAGAATGAGCTAATAGAGCATATATGTTTACAATATGGAATTAAACAAACTTTTGTGACAGCTTATCATCCACAGGCTAATGGCCTTGTTGAAAGAACCAATCGTAAAATCCTAGAAATACTGCGTCCAATTGTTAGTGGTTTTCAATACGCATGGGAGGATTGGTTACCGCAGGTTGCAGCGTCGATTAATGGGTCAGTTAATAGCTCTACGGGCAAAACACCCTACTATATTGTCTATGGCACAGATAAACGTCTGCCTTACGACATCCTTACAGAGGCGCCATACCCGGTATATAATACGGATGATTTTGCGGCAAAACAAATTCATGTCTTTACAGAAATTCATAACCAAGTACGATCACAGCTAGCGGCGTCACGCGCCGAAATGATCATCAAACAACATAAACATGCTAAACCTATCGCACTGAACGTTGGGGACGCTGTTATGTTACAGGTACCTGAAAGGAACTCCAAACTTTCGGCGAAATTTTCTGGTCCATTCCGCATAATCTCAAAAGAAGCAGGCAACAAATTCAAAATATGGAAGCCTAATGCACAGATCGCAGATGTCGTGCACGCGGATCGTCTGAAGATGACCCAGATAAATGTCTTACCTCAAGTTGATGATAATGTGATTGATACATCCTTACAGACTGTTCAGAAGCAAAATGTACCAAATGACTATTGTATGAAACTACGTTCTGCGAGTAGAAGTTAACTCGTACTTTCGCGTCAGATGGAAAACGTCGACGGCCAACTACAATCAGCATTGGACATTCTTCATGGTCTCAGCACAGCTTCGATGAATTCGACAATAGTTTCATGAGCGTTGTCGTTCAAGCTGTATCTCAACAGAATCGTGTTATTTCTCAAACCTTTCACGCGATTACTGCTCTAGAATCAAAGGTTAATGCAATAATAATGGAGTCTAACCAAGTTTCGAGGATTGTTACTAGGTTACAGAAAGCAATCCCGACGTTAGAATGGCTCCTTTACTTCACAGAATATTTGCATGCTGCTGAAATTTCAGTTCATAAAATTGTAACCTCTAAAAATGAACTAATAGACAGCATTGTAGATGCCGGGATAGGACGTGTGGACGCGAAGCTTGTGTCTGTGCAGACGCTTCTTGAAGCTTTAAAAATAGCCAAGTTGCAATATCATTTAACTCCTATTTTCAATGACAATGAGGTTCAATATCATTACCCACTGTTGGAGTCAACCCTCACGCACAATGCAATTCTGATCCACATTCCTATGCGAGGGCAACATGAGTTTAATGCATGGCATTTAGAACCCTTCCCCTGGTTTGTGAACGACACACTGTATACCCTAGATAGGCCTAAAGAACTTTTCTTAGTAGATGAAGAATATTCATTGTTATCAATAGAGGATTCTGAGGTACTGTCACGGTGTAAGTCGTCTTATCTACACCTACACGTATGTCCAGCCTACATGTTTGCATTTATTCCTGCTGCAGATGGAATATGTGAATTGGCAGTCATACAACCAAATGTACGCACAGCGTTAGCGCAATGCAGTTATAGGCCAGTTAGTCTAAAGACTGTGTTCCACGCTCACCTTCACAATGTGCAGTATTTGTTCTTTCCAAATCTCACTACTGTAATTTTAAAATGCCAAAATGGTGTTAAGCAGCTAGTTGTGAAAGGGCATTACAAGGCTCCTGATTACTGTGAAATCACTTGTAGTACATTACGGACCTTGCCTACTCATCAGTATTTTGCGTTAAATCGAAAACTCAAGTCTGCTTTAATTCCACTTCCTGTAATGAATTTCACTATCAAGGATATTCAAATAGTATCAGAGAAATTAAAAGTGTTAGCTTTCTTGAACGAGACACATTTTGCTGATTTGAATAATAACTTGCCATTTTATCTGTCACGGGAATTTGCACTACCAAGTCTTACGATTCCCTCTATTCTGTTAATTCTGGCAATAATGTTCCTGTTCTGTTATTACCGGGCAGTATCATCCAAATTCAACATTGTTCATAACATACTAACCCGTACGACACAAAAGTCTAGGTCCCCTGTAGTAGAGAATACCCCTACAGTAATTTCCCCAGCTTAGTGTCTACATATCTGTTTATAACATGGTTAGGGTTGTCTAGGATGTACTGTACTCTGTGAGTTATTTAGGCCTCACGGAGCTCGGCTGGTAGGTGACCGAGCGATGTAATAGGCCCCTGTCTCATCAACAGAACGTATTATATAAATGGGTCAATACATCTGATATTATATTCAGATTCACCACCCTGTAACTTTCCACTGTCTATGAGTAAGACATGAGATTGACACGTGAGCGGGCAACTTACCCAAGAGGGCGAGACCCATAGCTCAGCATTCCTGTAAGCACGCACTGCGATGCCCCTAAGCTTCAGTAGCTCACCTCAACTCATATCGAAAGGACGTGACCAAACGTTTATCATACATAAACGCCGTCCCTTTCTCATTCACTCCTAGACAGTGAGACTTACGGTTGATATACACTCAGGAATTATATATACAACCTTTTATAATAAAACAAAGGAACTACCGTTTGGGTTTCGTTACTTAAAACCCAAATATAAATATGTGTGAACGGACTGGTTAATTGGACAAGCAGCCGATTCAACTAAGAGTCGCAGAGAGGGACCAGCTGGAGGGAACTAAGATTCTCAGAGAGGGACCAGCTGGAGGGAATTAAGAGTCACAGAGAGGGACCAGCTGGAGGGAACTAAGAGTCTCAGGGAGGGACCAGCTGGAGGGAACTGAGAGTCTCAGGGAGGGACCAGCTGGAGGGAACTAAGAGTCTCAGAGAGGGACCAGCTGGAGGGAACTAAGAGGAAGTGTTGAGGTTATCTGTGTTATGTCTGGGCAACATCTTAAACGCCTCCTCCTCCTCGTTGATAATGTCTTGGGTGACTGTGTAAGTGGGGCGACCCTTCACACTCTCCCACACACGCTTGTAGGCTCTGGCACATGCCGGACTCACCACTCCCTTACTCACATCCTCAGGGCTGTTAGGACCTGCCAGGATTAACGAAGCTGTTATCTAATTTATCATTATTTATGAATCATCATTAGTCAATATCTAAGTTTCATGATAATTTTACTTGAATAAAATCTGACTCTAATGTTTACAATCAATGTAGAATTACCAGACAAAATCTATAGAGTTATATCAACAAGAACTTGCACAGATTAGCTTTATGCTAAAAAATAATTACTTTTACAGTACATGTTTGAATATTGGGTGGTAATTCTTCCAGGACAAAGACAAAATATACAAATGGCACTTTTCATGTAAAGTAAGTGAGAAGCTGCACGATACCGAGAGGAAAAACTGTTCTCACCTGTCAACAGAGAGACGAGAGAGCTGATTATAAATGTCAGCGCCACAGCAATTATTCCCGTGTAGCAGTAGGAGATCTCGTAGATAGTGTTAGATTGAGTTCTGTGGATGAAATGTGCATTATAATGAATCCATCTTTCAAATATAATACTTACTGTCATTTGTTAAGGCGACATTACAAACTAGCAATTTTTCAAACAGGCAAGTAAATGCAATAATAGATCAGGAGATTCCAGATATTGTTCCTGATTGTATTTTTACGAATTCTCTTAGACACTTTTACGTAGAGGCCCGTGACGTCACATATATGACATCACGCCACTGCTGAATTACCAGCGACATCCGAAACTTATAGCTCTTTATCTACTGTGTTCCATACCACCACCTCCCAATACTACCACCACTTACCTGCTACTACTACCACCACTTCCGGCTACTACTACCACCACTTTCAGTAACTAACACCTTCACTACAACCACTTCCTGTTACTACTACCACCACCTCCTGTTACTACTACCACCACTTCCTCTTACTAACACCTTCACTACAACCACTTCCTGTTACTACTACCACCACTTACCTGCTACTACTACCACCACTTCCTGTTACTACTACCACCACTTCCGGCTACTACTACCAACACTTCCTGTTACTAACACCTTCACTACAACCACTTCATGTTACTACTACCACCACTTCCTGCTGATACTACCACCACTTCCTGTTACTACTACCTCCACTTTCTGTTACTAGCACCTTCACTACCACCACTTCCTGTTACTAGCACCTTCACTACCACCACTTCCTGCTGCTACTACCACCACTTCATGTTACTAACACCATCACTACCACCACTTCCTGTTACTACTACCATCACTTCCTGTTACTAGCACCATCAATACCACCACTTCCTGCTGCTTCTACCACCACTTCCTGTTGCTAGCACCTTCACTACCACCACTTCCTGTTACTAGCACTATCACTACCACCACTTCCTGCTGTTACTACCACCACTTCCTGTTACTAACACCATCACTGCTACTGTTGGCAGCAGGAGAATGTAAGTAATTTCACTCGTGTGTAGGAATAGAGAAGAATGTGGTTCTCCCAGGATAATCCACGGAACAGAATATAACTAAGTAAATCTGAGAATAAAAGAAAATAAACAAATATGAAAAAGTATTAAAAGAAATACAATAAGCACCAAGAAAGACAGAAAATGAAGAAAATAAAAGAAATATAACCAAGAAAGTTATAGACATAAGAAGGTAAGAGCCAAACTTCAAAAGTCGTGATATTACACTGGAATGAGGTGAGAGTGTTGGAGCTGGGTGAGAGGAAGTTAAAATGCTTGGTGGTGACCTAAGCGGCCATGTGGGATACACACAGAAGGTTTGGACAGTGTGTATGGTGAAAAAGGCTACAGTACAAGGAATATGGAAAGAGTAAGAATATTAAAGTTTGGATTTATACTGAATATGGTTGTATCTAATATACTATAGGAATAGCCGTGTGTCTGTCTGTCTGTCTGTCTGTCTGTCTGTCATTTCTGGGCAGCCGAAACGGCACAATCGTTTTTCATCAAACTTGGTGGAAAAATCGCAAAAAAATTCGTAGAGTGGTAACAAACCTGGTCCCATGTCGATGCTTTTTTTTTAGGAAGGCATTAATTAACCATTTTATTTACGCTGGCAAAAGTTGTCGCTGTACGTTGTCAGCCAGCTGGACGATTGCAGTTATCGTACGGCTCCCTCCTCCTCCCCCCACTTTTTCTCTTAGCCTACTTTTTTTTTAATGTTGTTTGGATTAGTAAAGGAAGAAAGATGAGTAAATAGAAGAATAAAGAAGGGGGAAACAGAAAATAGTTAGAGATAACAGGTGGGGGGAGCTGAGTTTCATCATGCGTCTGGATTTGCAGTTTTAACGTTACCAGACGACCTTACAGCTATAGTGTATACTTATTCCTGTGGCTGACTGTACATGGAAAAGGAGAAGAGATAAAATGATAATAACAGGAATGCATGGAGAAGATGACTACAATAGACACAGGGTGAATATAGATAGTGAAACAGACAGGAGGTTGCAAAAATATACAGATTCATATATGCATAAATAGACAATATGGCAACTAACATGACAGACAGACAGAGAGCTGACTGACTGGTTCACTTTAGACAAACAGGCAGACACACGCCAACAACGGATAAGACAGACAGATTTGACGACACAAAGAGTACAGACAGGCTTACAGTCAAACACTACTCAGACGAACAGACAGTTCGGATGGCAATAGACAGGACATATAGACTTGAGACAGATTAGAAGGCATTTATAAACAAGAATAACACCAAATTGACCATAGCTACGTCAGTGAGGGTAGGAGGTCTTACATCCACCAGCGTAAATAATAAGATGCATTGCAAACTAACACCCTCGCGCGGAATGAACATCGATGGTCGGTCAGTCATGTGAGATGGGCCTAAAACTGACTAATGTAGATGATGACTATGATGACTTAACACAGGTGATGACTTAAGCAGATAGTGACTAATCTAACCAGAATCAAAGTCACTTCTCTTGAAAATATAATTTATCTCGGAAAGATCATCGGTTATTCATAATAAAAAAATTATGATTTTAACCTCTCTTTATGGCGAATATTTCTTTAAATAATTATTCTAACCTTTATTCGATTCCTTGCTATAGTATACTAGATACTTACAGTACCTAACAACCACGACCATGATTATAACAACCACAACCATGATTATAACAACCACGACCATGATTATAACAACCACGACTATGATTATAACAACCACAACTATGATTATAATAACCACGACCATGATTATAACAATCACGACCATGATTATAACAACCACGACCATGATTATAACAACCACGACCATGATTATACCAACCACGGCTATCTATCTAATATACTATAGGAATAGCCGTGTGTCTGTTCTGAGCAGCCGAAACGGCGCAATCGTTTTTCATCAAACTTGGTGGAAAAATCGCAAAAAATTAGTTACGTGGAACAAATCTTTTCCCATGTAGATGGTTTCGCGCGCTAGCCAAGCACGAGCGTTCGAACTTTCACGCATCGGTAAACTGTACCACCGGACTCGCCACCGGGCACAAAGGGCCCACGATCACTTTTGAAACAGTGTTTAAGAAGAGGACGAGTAGGCTGACTACATGAGTCAGGCGGCAAATATTACTTTGCTGTCACTCAGTATCGAGTATGATGATAATCCAGCTATAATACAATGATATGAGTTATTAAGGGTGACTAAAGAGGCCGATACGGGACCAGGAGGGTCGTCCACAGATGTTGCACGTGTGGAGGGCTACCCCTAGTGCTGGAGGGGCGGTGGCAGCGTCTTTCCGGCGTTGGTGCTTGTCTGCCTTGGTATGCAGTCGGGCTAACTCGAAAGTATTGACACCTTCTTCTATGGTGCTCCTCCAAGCATTAGGGTGTGAAGTAATCGTCTCCCAGGTGAGGGGGTCGATTTGGCACTTTTTCACGTTTGTCTTAAGACTATCCTTATACCTTTTCAGTTGCCTGCCAGCGTTACATTTCGTATTCGTTGGTGACTGTAAAGTAGCTGCTTTGGCAGTCTACTGTCGTCCATGCGGGTAACATGGCCAGTCCAGGGTAGTTGTTCATGGATAATAATAGTTTCGATGCTCCTACAGTTGGTGTCAGCGAGAATACTGACATTTGTTCTCTTGTCTTCCCAGCGAACTCGAAGGATAGAACGTCGACTACGTTGGTGAAAGTTTTCAAGTGCCTTGAGATGCCTCCTGTAGGTGACCCATGTCTCACTGCCATGTAGCGGGGTCGGAAGGACCACTACTCGATATACATGCAACTTTGTGGATAATTTCAGCTGCCTACAGCTGAAGACATGGATTCGGAGTCTCCCAAAGGCTTGAGATGCACATCTAATCCGCTGTTGAACCTCTTCATCAATGTCCGTAGGGGTAGACAGGTGGGAGCCAAGTGTGCATATGTATCTGTGTAGGTGTTCAGGATCTCTTGTAGGTCGCATTCAGTGTGAGCGATGAGGGTGAAGTCATCTGCATACTGAAGTTCAGTAATGGAAACTGCCGACATGTTTGTTCTTGCCTGGAGTTGTCTTATGTTTAAAAGACCCTTCATCCGGTACTGGATGTCTACCCCGCTGGCTAAATTGGCACTGGTACGAGTAAAAAAGGCAGCCAAGAAAATGGAATAGAGATTTAGTGCCAGTATACATCATTGTTTTACCCCCGTTTGGATGGGGAAGAACTCAGACTGGATGCCATTGCGCAGGACACTGTCGTTCATGACATGGTGGAGTACAGGTCACTATGTTGTTCTCTGTACTTTTCTTGTATCTGACGGGCAGAAAAGATCATGACAGTGGTGTCACGTGATGGTCTAAAACCACATTGAGATTCTGGAAGGAAGTTTTCCGCCTCAGGAGAAGTCTGTTTAGGAGGACTCGAGTGATAATCTTGCCATCTACGGACAGCAGTGAGATTTCGCGGTAGTTGCCACAGTCTGAGCGATCTCCCTTTTTTTTATAAATATTGGGGATGGGGGCATCTTTGAGAGCTTGGGGGGTTTCCTCCTTTTCTCATATATACTACAGGAGAGAGTGGAGATGGCTGTTAAGCAGAGGTCCTCCTGCTTTATACATGTCAGCTGGGAATCCATCAGGCCCTGAGGCTTTGTTATTTTTCATCTTTTTGATGGCAGTAGCTACCTCATCCAGGGATGGAAGTAAGCTTAGGCGGGTCAGCCCTGGATGCTAAGAAACCTGCTAGATAGTCAGGACATCCACTTCAGTGTTTCGGTTGAGGAGAGAATGGTAGTGCTCTTTCCAGCACTGAAGGAGGCCTTCTTCATCTTTGATTAGAGAGTTTTACCGTCGGATGAGCAGAAGGGGGCTGCGCCATGAGTGATTGGCCCATAAAGTGTTTTAGTGGAATTGAAAAATTTTTGCATCTTGTGTTGATCTACAAATTTTTTCAAAGTTTGCACTGGGCCTATGCATTCTTTTTGTGGAAGGTATAGGCTTTGCTCCAAGACTGTGGGTTGTTCTGC